AATTTAAGCTTTACAGAATTTCGGATAATAACCCCCTGGGATACTATATGAAAATCTCGAATATTCACAAATAAACACCAACTATCGTTCAATGAACAGTTCAGCTTAGAGAAGACGTTTACATTTCAGTTGTTTTTTTTTGTTTCCTTGGTGGATATTCCGTTTCTCGTCTTCTTCCCGTACTCAGCACTCCTCGTCCCCTTCTCCCCCCTCCCCTTCCCCCGTATAACAATCCTTCAACTCATCTTAATTCAACTTTTATTCAAGTTTATCGCAAACGATAAAAATCCATATTTAAACAGCCCACTTGTCATCGTTGAGATGAGGTCAAGCGAAAGAAGAACAAAAAGGAAAAAACAAGAACAAGAACAACAGCAAAAAAGCAAAAAAAAAATTTCTGCTAAAAGTTGTCTTTCTTTTTCTCTACAAAAAAAAAAAAAAAAAAAAAAAAGCTTTACCATTTCTATCCAAACATACAAAAAAAAATTTTTTATTTTGACAATCGTCTATGTATATTTCGGGTGCCATATTTGGATATATATTTATATATAATGGATGTATTTGTAAGAATAAAAAGGAGAAGCAGTAACAATACCAATTGAAAAAATAAAGAAGAAGAAAAACTGAAATATCATGTAAATCAAAACAAAAGCAAAAAAAATAAACAACCATAGAAAATTAAAATTAAAAGAGAAAAAAACCTGTGAGAAAAATAAAGTTTTTTTTTGTTTTTCTTTTAAAAGAATTCCTATATAATAAAGAATTTTTTTTGTGGTTAGCCATAGAAAGAAGACCAAAAAAATAGCAAAAATTTTGGCAACTATAAATACTTCCTGTTTGATCCCCCGTCCCTTCCCCACATTTTTTCTTTTCCTTCAAATTTAGTCATAAAAATTGTTCTGTTGTTCAAATTTATTTTCTACAAGAAGAGAAAAAAATTTTTTTCCTTCCTACTGCTCCTATTTTACTTTTTTCATGATCTTATGCTTCCTAAGCCATTGACACATCAACACTTCAGTCTTTTTTTTTTTTTGCTCCTACTCTTTCCAGACAATTACATACCGATATATCCTATAATTTTCTTCGGCTATAAAAAATCAGAAAAAATTTTAGCAAAAAGTACACAAAAATATAAAAAAAAAACAAAAGTACAAAAAAAACTGCTTCTAAGTTTAGCCATTACTTCTGAATAGTCGTCATTTTTTTTTTGCTCCTGTTGTTCTTCTATCGTCAAAAAAAAAAGCATTAAACACTTAGAAGAATAAAAAATAGCACTTTTTAGTATCATTGGCTTCATGCTCAACCATTTTGAAACTATCCTTTGAGCTGTCTATAAATTTTGTCCTATTTTCAAGCAACTTTTATGACTACTGCTAACTGGCCATAAAAAAGTGAACAATTTGCTGCCAGTTGAAGACAATAAATTTATAAAGGTGGGAAAAAAAAGACAGCAGACTTAATAGTAACACCTCTGAACAGTAAAGAAGAAATAATTTTTTCTTCTGTTCAGTTATTCTGAATTTCATATATACACCTATAGAAAAGTAACCATTATTCAGCTAATGATTTTTTCATTTCTTTGATCGTACACAGACTGAAAAAAAAAAATAATGAAGAAGAAAAGAAGCACCTTCTTTGTCAAACCAATATTTATTATTTTCTTATTTTCATCTTTCTCAGAACTGAGGTAACAAACAATGTATTTTAACCAGACGTGAATTTATTAGTTTGTTCACCAAACTTTATCCGATGTATTCAGAACGTAAAAAGAAACACGCAATAAATAAATAGTTAAAGATGGCACGACAAAATAGCTATGAAAAAAAAAAAACGAAAGAAGGACGACATGTAGAAATGTATACATTGTATATATCTTTCATACATCTATAAACATGCTGAATTTCTTAAGACAACGATCTGATAAAACGTAGAAATTAAAAAACGCGTTGAAGAATATGAGTTTATAAGTTTTTGCCTATATACACGTTTATATGATGTGTATATTTTTCGCTTCATAAGAGATATATGCAAGCAAATTCAAAATCAATATAGAAATTATTGCTGATATATGCACATCAAAGGAAGACCCCCCCCCAAAAAAAAAAAAAAAAGCACTTGAGACCTAATTTAAGGAAAGCGTAAGGATGGAGTAAAATGGCAATTTCTAAGACAGTTTCTAAGAAGGATCTTCGTCCCTTCGACACTTCTTTCATTTGAATCATTTCTTGGCCATTAAAATAAAAACACATCTAATCAGTTGGAAATTTGTTGATCAAAGCCATTTTAAATGTTAGGGTAACAGATTGTTGAGTTGATTGAAATTATGAATCTTTATTTTTACATTACTAACTACGATTCAGCTATTCATAATCAGTAAGATCAGTTGAGTAAATGAATGAATTGGTGAACAGTGATGAAATTGCTGCAGTATCTGCAGCAAAGATGATGACGACAAAAACTGAAGAAACAATTGAAGTCTTAATATCTGCAAATATTAATATATTTCTGTTTAACATATTAAGTAGCTTTATTTGTTCATATTGATTTATTTCTTTTTTTTTCACTCTTTTTTCTTGCTTTTTTTTTCGCAAATAAAATTGAAAAAAAAAAAATGAATAGGATATTTGTAATTGGAACAGAACAAAAGGAACAGAATGGAATGGAGTGAAATGAAATGGAATGGAACAAATATAAAATCATAAAAAAACTGAAGCGGAAAAAATGAGGTGAAAAAAAAAACGAAAAAAAAATAATTCCATTTTTGTAGCCTGCATAAATATATATATATATATATATATATATATATAT